TTACAACATGTAGGGACACAGAGCTTTCTCAATTAGGGCCTCGTCGTCTTAATCCGGCCTTGCATGCCTGTATCTAGCAGAGCCACATGTGGAACCTCACTGGTGGAAAGTATATAGTTCAGTCGCCCGGCTCTCTAGCGTAGTTGGCTAAACCGGATTGCGCGGTGACCGGGTGACGAACTCCTTGTGGTCCGGGTTCACTCCCGGGGGTAGGCAGAAAAGCTACATCTCTCCCAGATTTAGGGTATTTACAATGGAAGAGGTTGCGATATCCATAATACCGAGCCTAAGGGTTAACAACTCATGGCTTCTGGATACTAAAACAAACATAGTTCAGTGTGCTGAATTTGCTTTCGGGTGAAACTGAGCACTTACAGTTGAAACCAGCTTCGCTGTCTGTTCTTCCGTTTGTGTTTTAACCACAAAAGTCTGCCTGTATGTTTGTCTTTCTCCTATTGCCCGCGTGTTTGTCTGTCTACATGTCTACCCATCTGTCTAAACTAGCCACAGAGAAAAACAACAACATAAGCCACTGAATCAAAGACAAGAAGTCAGCCTGCTATGAAACTATCGAAGCGAGGTGTCTATAGATATGCTCATCTTGTGGCGCAATGATTCACCTGACAGTGACTGAGATACCTGTGCCGTCATCGTCGTCAGCATCACCATCAACACAAACACCATCATCACCTTCTTCAAGTATTTCATCGACTGATGGCTGCAATCATTTCTATACACATATTCAATTCTGAAGTATCGAAACAATTCTCGCCGTCGGGTTTTTGGCCACACTTCCTCTCTGGTCTGTCCACCACCTCCCCCCACCCCCTCGACCCCTTTCTCCCCCTCCCCTCCTCCTCTCGTAATCCACTTTTCTGTTTATCTCTCCATCTCTTTGTCTCTTTCTGCCTCCCATCTCATCTATCTTCCTGACCATCTGGTGTAGTGTTAAAAAAAGAGTGACTAAGGGTATGCCCTAGCTTTGACATTGTACAAAAAATGGGTGACTAAAGGTATGCCCTAGCTTTGACAATGTATAGAAACAGAAGCATCAACAATATCTGCGATGTTTAGAAAACTGCCGAGGATAGAAGCACCAAATTGGGAAACAGCTGTCCTTCATAGGCCGGGAATACCTGGCCAGCTGGCAACTGTAAACACTGAGATTACAAGTCGGTTAATGTGTGATGGTTATCAGCATGAGGAGCCGTCTTCAACCCAAGCTAGGCTGTACTGCACTGCCCATATCTTCTGTCGTGCCTGCCCAGTACACTCATAGAGGCTTTGTCCAGTAAATCTATTGATACTGACCCCTTCTTCGCCCTGCACGTAACACTATCTCTCCCCTCCCCCCGTAACACTATCTCTCCCCTCCCCCCGTAACACTATATCTCCCCTCCCCCCGTAACACTATCTCTCCCCTCCCCCCGTAACACTATCTCTCCCCTCCCCCCGTAACACTATGTTCCGTGTTATCTCTTTGTGTTTGTTGGAAAGACTTGATGAGAAAAGAGTAAACGGAAACAAAGATAAATATATGATGCCTGACCACATGGCATAGTCGAGACAAGAACACAGATATGATCTCAGATTCTGATGATCGTGTAAAACGGAGATCTATGACAGTCCATGCTTATCCACCTAGCAACTGATGATGCTGCTGATTATCTGTGGTGGTAGCTTCAGCCTCTGGTTCATGTGACTGATTATCTGTGATAGCCCCTTCAGCCTCTGGTTCATGTGACTGATTATCTGTGGTAGCCCCTTCAGCCTCTGGTTCATGTGACTGATTATCTGTGGTAGCCCCTTTAGCCTCTTGTTCGAGTGACTGATTATCTGTGGTAGCACCTTTAGCCTCTGGTTCGTGTGACTGATTATCTGTGGTAGCACCTTTAGCCTCTGTTTCGAGTGACTGATTATCTGTGGTAGCACCTTTAGCCTCTGGTTCGTGTGACTGATTATCTGTGGTAGCACCTTTAGCCTCTGGTTCGTGTGACTGATTATCTGTGGTAGCACCTTTAGCCTCTGGTTCGAGTGACTGATTATCTGTGGTAGCACCTTTAGCCTCTGGTTCGTGTGACTGATTATCTGTGGTAACACCTTTAGCCTCTGGTTCGAGTGACTGATTATCTGTGGTAGCCCCTTTAGCCTCTGGTTCGAGTGACTGATTATCTGTGGTAGCACCTTTAGCCTCTGGTTCGTGTGACTGATTATCTGTGGTAGCACCTTTAGCCTCTGGTTCGAGTGACTGATTATCTGTGGTAGCACCTTTAGCCTCTGGTTCGTGTGACTGATTATCTGTGGTAACACCTTTAGCCTCTGGTTCGAGTGACTGATTATCTGTGGTAGCCCCTTTAGCCTCTGGTTCGTGTGACTGATAATTCTCAAATCTTACCCCTCAGTGGATGCTGTTGCTCTAGTGGGTCCTATGACAACGTCACCTAACGCTAGAAGCAGAAATTCTGAGTTGCATCGAGCAGTATTGTGAGCCTGGTTAAATTAATGTCCCGAAAGCGCCAACATTATTCGACTCATGTTCTGTGTAAGGAAACCAAGTTAATATCATGTCCTGTGTCAGGAAACATGCCTGATCTCGCCAGGAAACCTGGCTAATATCATGTTCTGTGCCAGGAAACATGGCTAATCTCATGTCCCTTGCCAGGAAACCTGGCTGATCTCATGTCCCGTGCCAGGAAACCTGGTTAATATCATGTTCCGTGCCAGGAAACCTGGCTAATCTCATGTCCCTTGCCAGGAAACCTGGCTAATCTCATGTCCCGTGCCAGGAAACCTTGCTAATATCATGTTCCGTGCCAGGAAACCTAGCTAATCTCATGTCCCGTGCCAGTAAACATGGCTGATCGCATGTCCCGTGCCAGGAAACCTAACCGAACCCATCTCCCGTGTCAGGAAACTGAGCAGGAAACTGGGTTGAACACATGTTTCCTGCCAAAAAATCTGGGCGATCTTATGTCCTGTGCTCGATCACCTGAGGGAAGTCATGTCCGATGCTAAAAAACCTGGCTGATCTGAGGTCCTGTGATAGAAAACCCTGACTGAACTCATGTTCAGTGCTATAAATCCTGACTAACCTCATGTCATGTGCTAGGAAACCTGGTTACCCTCACGTGCTGTGGTAAAAAGCCTGACCGAAATCCTGTGCTAGTAAACCCGTTGTGTAAAACTTGCTCTGTTCAGAGCTGTTGCGCAGTGGTCAAACAGTTGCAAGATTTAGCAACTGCCTGAGGTCGTGTAAAGGTGCCGGTTCGAGGACTGGGTATAGCAGTCAACATCCAATTCAATGTTTTTTACATCCTCCCCCCCCCCCCCCCCCCCCCCACTCAAATCCATCTCAAACTATGAATTTACAAACCAATAAAGAACTGAATTTATCAATATACAGATAAAACTTCCACCCACTATTTTAAAATATAATCGGAAATACATGTAACATTAAAACACTAGCAATTGAATTTAAAAAACAACATGAACCAAACGTAGATTTTCCCGCCTGATTTGGCTCCTGGCAAACAACAAGTTCAAACAGACAACTCAGCTCTCCGAGATGGTAAATAGTCTCCCCGACTTCTGGTCGTTAAACGAGGGATTCACGTGTGCGCAAGTGCGCCCCTAGCTCCGTGCTCTCATTAGAGATGCTCACCAAGACAGGGATGGGGAGGTGGGCACAGCTTGTAAGTTTATAACCCCGATTGGATATTCTGGAAGCCTCACATTTGGCGCAGTCGACCCGACCCTTGTGCGTGCAATCTCCGTGTGTAGAATTTGTGGGTTTTTGACTCTGGCGAGCGGCCACGCGATCGATAGACCTAATCTTGAGGTACCCGCAGCGTCTGTAACCTCGACCGTCTGGCTGAGAATCTTGTTTCGTCAGGAATATGTTGTAACAACGTTACATTACACTCTGTAACCATGGTGGTCTGGTCAACAATATGTTGTAACAATGTTACATGACACTCTGTAACCATGGTGGTCTGGTCAGCAATATGTTGCAACAATGTTACATGACACTCTGTAACCATGGTGGTCTGGTCAGCAATATGTTGCAACAATGTTACATGACACTCTGTAACCATGGTGGTCTGGTCAGCAATATGTTGTAACAATGTTACATGACACTCTGTAACCATGGTGGTCTGGTCAGCAATATGTTGCAACAATGTTACATGACACTCTGTAACCATGGTGGTCTGGTCAGCAATATGTTGCAACAATGTTACATGACACTCTGTAACCATGGTGGTCTGGTCAGCAATATGTTGTAACAATGTTACATGACACTCTGTAGCCACGGCTTTCTGGTCGGCAATATGTTGTAACAATGTTACACAGGAATGAATCTTCCGAAGAAAATCCTGCCTGTGACAGGTGTAACATTACTGCAGTCTAGTCTAGTCTCTAGTTTAACCCCACTGACTCCAGACTATTGTGTTTGACCTCAAGAAGAAACCAGACGTGTCTCTGGGGTTACAAGTCGACACCCTACAATTAAATCCCAACAAACTTATAGATGCTGAACACAACCCTCGTTCCTAAGCATCATGTGGAAACTGCGGAATTATGTTTGAATTGTGTTAGAACTCTACATACACCAGAATCTTAGATTGTCTGCCTTAGAACAGAGCACAATCAACTTCGCTGCCACATGTGCAACAAATTTAAGATTGGCCAATCAGCCATGTGTATTTGTGGACTGGCTCCTGAAACCACAGATCACATCCTTCAAGACTGTCCCAGATTCAACGCCTTCAGGCAAAACTTTTGGCCAAAAGAGACACTTGTGGAAGTCAAACTTTACGGGCCGCTTAGTGAATTACAAAAGACAGTGAAATTCATACTAGAGACAGCATTGCAGATATAGATAATTTATTTCATGCGAACTAAAGAAGAAGCAGAATATCTGACACTGACCAACAAGACGACAACGAAAGAAGAAAAAGAATATCTGACACTGACCAACAAGACGACATATCTCCACTTACTTGCCGTTCCTGACCTGGTACTTGTCTGAATTTTTGGCGATGATGACGCCATCTTTGAACCAGGAGAACAAAGCCGGAGGGTTGCTGTCCACCCGGCACTCCAGCGTGATGTTCCGGTCCACTGCTTGCTTCTTGGGGACATTGAGAGCACTGATAGATGGCAACTTGGCTGTGGAAAGGAAACACAATATTCAAGTCATCATTCAGTGGATTCTCTTTGGATTTTTTTAAACTGCGAAACGTGTGCAGATATTGAATCAGATTCATTTCTTTCTATCATTTCTGTCCATGGCTTGTTCGCCATCTCATCATTATCATGTAGTAGATCTTCTGTGAACAAACATCACAGCGTTTTACCGTCTGACTCCCTGAAAGCACCCCTACATTTTGTGTCAGTTCTCCTGTCGCAAACCCTACATCTTGTGTCAGTTCTCCTGTCAAAACCCCTACATCTTGTGTCAGTTCTCCTGTCACAACCCCTACATCTTGCGTCAGTTATCCTGTCACAACCCCTACATCTTGCGTCAGTTCTCCTCTCGCAACCCCTACATCTTGTGTCAGTTCTCCTGTCACAACCCCTACATCTTGTGTCAGTTCTCCTGTCACAACCCATACATCTTGTGTCAGTTCTCCTGTCGCAACCCCTACATCTTGTGTCAGTTCTCCTCTCGCAACCCCTACATCTTGTGTCAGTTCTCCTGTCGCACGTGTCTGCGTGTTCAACTGATACCTCGGCTAATTAGTGACTCAGTTAACGAGTTCCTGTGATCAAGAAATGTGTCCGCTGGTTTGTGGCCTCCGCTAACGAATGTGGATTCGGTTAGAAATGTGTTAATGATGCACGTCTGCGTTCTCAATGTGTTAGTGATGCACGTCTGCCTTCTCTTGTTCCAGCACTTGTCAGTAAGTTAAAGTGAAGGATCCTCTACCACGCCTTCAAGCGCACAAGTGATGCACGTCTGTCTTCTCTTGTTCCAGCACTTGTCAGTTAGTTAAAGTGAAGGATCCCTTACCACGCTTTCAAGCGCACAAGTGATGCACGTCTGTCTTCTCTTGTTCCAGCACTTGTCAGTAAGTTAAAGTGAAGGATCCCTTACCACGCTTTCAAGCGCACAAGTGATGCACGTCTGTCTTCTCTTGTTCCAGCACTTGTCAGTAAGTTAAAGTGAAGGATCCCTTACCACGCTTTCAAGCGCACAAGTGATGCACGTCTGTCTTCTCTTGTTCCAGCACTTGTCAGTTAGTTAAAGTGAAGGATCCCTTACCACGCTTTCAAGCGCACGGGACAAATAGGGCTAAACCTACTTCTATAGACCAATCGGCACTTGGTGGCTCATGTGGTCATCATTACACCCATTCACTTTACTTCCCAGAACTGTACCCGGTACCCACTCAACCCTAGGTCGACCTGGGAGCCAAGGACATTTTGAAAAAAAAAAAACAAGCTCCGCCAGGCCCTGAACTCACGACCTTCTGATCGGCAGGCGAGCGTCTTGCCGCTAAAACACAACGGCTTCCAAATAATAATTGACCATATCTATTCTACGCGATGAGATTACACTTGCCCCACAAATTCACAACAGAAAGGTGGAGGAGAAGGAGGTCTACAAAAGTGCATACATTCCTCCTCTCCCTAAGAAAACCAACTAGGCTGTAATTAACTCTAGGCAGGAATTTCACAGCACAAGTGTCGGCCATGTATGATAACGGGCCTAGCGGTATCAGCTTTGAAATTCCTCAACAGCGGCCCACGTTCCCATCGGTGCAGGATAGCGCTTGCACGGACTCCCGGAGAATGCAAATGGCGACCAGTCAAGATGGAATGTCAAGAAATATTGTCACCGCAACCTTCGCCTAACAGGTTTTTGACAAGTGTGTAGCTTTCGAGATAAAAATAGTTTCCATCTCATTCTGTCTTGGAGTGAGGCCTCTATTTGTGGTCTTCTTCAGTCTGTGGTTACTTGTTCTGCACTTGTTCCATGGGGCCTGCGTGTCCATGGGTGGATTACTTTTGTCTTTACTTAGCTGCCATCAGGGTGGATCACTTTTGTCTTTACTTAGCTGCCATCAGGGTGGATTACTTATTTCTTCCCTAACCGAGGGAAAATATATTTATTGTTTTACCCAGACAACTTGTCATTTCTTAGCTCGGTATCGAACACAGTTGATGAATCAACAAATCAATCAACCAGGCGCTGTCTGCACCTCATCACTGAATGGACCCTGAAAGGTCACGAGAGGTCGGTACTAGATTGTTGCCATCGAGAGATAGAATACATGAGTGGTTGGCGCCATTAAGGGTTGTGCAAAAACATGTCTGTGACTGGTTGGCGCCATTAAGGGTTGTGCAAAAACAAGATGAGGCAAGGCAAAACAGCGGAGCAGGAAAGGGGGTGGGGGGAAGGGGCGCATAGAATCAATGCAGTTATAGGAAGAGCGTAGAGAATATAGAAATTAAGAGCCTATGCTCCATTATAGGAAAAGTGGGATGAATATGAACAAAGGTACGTAAGTGAGGAAGGGAGGAAGGAAGGAAGGAAGGAAGGAAGGAAGGAAGGAAGGAAGGAAGGAAGGAAGGAAGGAAGGAAGGAAGGAAGGAAGGAAGGAAGGAAGGAAGGAAGGAAGGAAGGAAGGAAGGAAGGAGGAAGGAAGGAAGGAAGGAAGGAAGGAAGGAAGGAAGGAAGGAAGGAAGGAAGGAAGGAAGGAAGGAAGGAAGGAAGAAAGAAAGAGAGAAAAGAAAGAAAGAAAGAAAGAAAGAAAGAAAGAAAGAAAGAAAGAAAGAAAGAAAGAAAGAAAGAAAGAAAGAAAGAAAGAAAGAAAGAAAGAAAGAAAGAAAGAAAGAAAGAAAGAAAGAAAGAAAGAACGAACGAACGAACGAACGAACGAACGAACGAACGAACGAACGAACGAACGAACGAACGAACAGAAAGAAAGAAAGAAAGAAAGAAAGAAAGAAAGAAAGAAAGAAAGAAAGAAAGAAAGAAAGAAAGAAAGAAAGAAAGAAAGAAAGATAGATAGAAAGCAGGAAGAAAAGAAGGAAAAAGAAGAAGACGAAGAAGAAGAAGAAGAAGAAAAAGAAGAAAAAGAAGAAGAGGTCGATTAGGAGGAGGAGAGGATGAGATGAGAAAGAAAAAGACAAATAAGAAGATAATATGTCAAAAGTATGAAGACAATTGTATAAAACACGCAAGAACCCAGCCTGGAGTCAAGCAAACCTCAAACACTGCGCTGTGGTGGGTGCTCGCCACACACAGATCCAGGCAAAATATGCGGCACATACAGATCCAGGCAAAATATGCGGCACATACAGATCCAGGCAAAATATGCGGCACATACAGATCCAGGCAAAATATGCGGCACATACAGATCCAGGCAAAATATGCGGCACATACAGATCCAGGCAAAATATGCGGCACATACAGATCCAGGCAAAATATGCGGCACATACAGATCCAGGCAAAATATGCGGCACATACAGATCCAGGCAAAATATGCGGCACATACAGATCCAGGCAAAATATGATCGCTAAATTGATAGGGTCTGCAGTTTTGAGACATCCCGCCTCACACACCTCCAACCAACCCCCCCCCCCCCCCCCCCCTGTTTTTACCTTCGGGGCTGGAGAAAAAGAATCAAACGCCGAACGTGTGAAGAAGATTGACAGGACCCGGACTGGGGTCGATTTGACTTTAATTAGAGAACTGAGGGAAGACGCAGTCGTGAGGAACAGGTGATGGCTGGAGGTCAGACTGTGGAGGTTGATAAATCATAACTAGGCTGACATCGTCTGCAAACAGGCCCGGTAAATAGGCGCAACATAAAACTAGAGGGTGATTGAGGTTGCGGGGGGGGGGGGTTGGATAGACAGATATTCTGGCACATGGGGCTAGTGTTAAAGAGGAGAGACAATATGGTATAGGTGAGGGAGAAGATGTTACAGGTGAGGGAGAAGATGTTACAGGTGAGGGAGAAGATGTTACAGGTGAGGGAGAAGATGTTACAGGTGAGGAGGAAGGTGTTACAGGTCAGTGAGAAAATATTATAGATTAGGGAGCACATGTTGTAGGTGAGGGACAAGATGTTACAGGTGAGGGAGAAGATGTTACATGTGAGGGAAAAGTTGTTACAGGTGAGGGAGAAGATGTTAAGGTGAGGGACAAGATGTTACAGGTGAAGGAGAGGATGTTGTACGTCAGGGAAAAGGTGTTACAGGTGAGGGAAAAGATGTTATAGGTGAGGGAGAAGATGTTACAGGTATAGGAGAAGATGTTACAGCTGGTTGAGAAGATGTTGTAGGTGAGGTAGAAAATGTTATAGGTGCGGAAAGTGACGTGAGAAGATGTTATAGGTGAGGGATAAGATGTTATAGATGAGGGGAAATAGTTTACAGGTGTGGAAGAAGATGTTGTGGGTGAGGGAGAAGATGTTTTAGGTAACAGAGATGTTTCACGTGAGAGGGAAAAGATGTTATAGGTGAGGGAGAAGATGTTACAGGTGAGGGGGACGTTAAAGGTGAAGGAGAAGATGTTATAGGTGAGGGAGAAGATGTTGTAGGTGAGGGAGACGTTACAGGTGAAGGAGAAGATGTTATAGGTGAGGGAGAAGATGTATGTTAGGTAGAAGGTGTTACAGGTAAGGAAGAAAATACTATAGGTGGAGGAGAAGATGTTTCTGGCGAGGGAGAAGGTGTTACAGGTGAGGGAGAAGATGCAGTGGGTGCGGAAGATGATGTTACATGTGAGGGAGAAGATTTTACAGGTAAAGGAGAAGATGTTACAGCTGATTCAGAAGATGTAGGTGAGGGAGAAGATGTTATGTGTCAGGGGTGTGAGAGATGGGTGTTTCGAAGGGCTTTCTGTAAGATGGGCCTGCGTTATCAATTTGTGGCCTCTTGAAAATAAAGTTGGTTCGTTCTTTAAACGTGCTGTAAAAGTTATTTTCATTTTTTAATGTTGCTCATGATCCGTGTCTCGGTCTTAAGCGGTCCTCCTCTTGCTCTGTGTTGCTTTTATTTTATTTTTTTTTCACCGTGGCATATTGCCTCAGTTGGTACCAGAGTTTTGTCATCACAAAGAGGTGTTGTAACTAAATCTAGCCACACTCGTCATAGAACAAAATAATATCGATTCAAAAACTCCACAAAATTGTCGCGGAAAATGACTGAACTT